TAGTATATATATATATATATATATATATATATATATATATATATATATTGAAGCATGAACGACAAGTAAGATATTATATGCACGTGTAAAAGAGGATATAGATTCAGAAAAGAGAAATATATATATATGCCAGACATAATATACACAAGAGGGTAAGTTTTTATTACGGACTCTATTGTCATTTATTACACGTACAATCGATAAATGTGTGATAGAGACGTTTGCCTTTTATCCTTCATCATCTCTTTTTCTTTTATTGTATTGTGTTATACTTTTATTTCGTCATCTGAATATTTTTACACAGAGATATACATGACGGAGCTCCCAGTGATGATGATTGAACACAATTTTCGATTTATAAATTATATTGTTACTCGAATGTATTTGTAAAAGTGGGTATATACGAGGGCGAACGATCAACGAAGGCGAACTCTTAAAATCTCAAAGATGTTCATCATAATGAATGAATGGGAAATGTTTATTAACATTACTTCATTCGCGCTCGCGAATCGATTAATATAGGATAGTACATCAAAGAAAGTTTCAGAGAAAAATTTATCTTTATATTTTTCGTCGTTTGTTGCTTGTTCGTCCAGTCTATATCCGCCTGGAAAGATGTGATCTTGGTTTTGTACTGACTGAAATTTTTCAGGACGCTTGCGTTATGCGTGCCCGAGTGCAGAATGCAAGGGACTGACATGGGGGATTGTATAATGTACAAGCACGTCCATGTATACACATCCCCGCGGTCAGCGATATGATAGTTACGACAACGTGAATCGTACACTTGCATTATATTTCCATTGTGTAGCAAAACATGATGATTATTAAATACATGATTGTGTATCGAAAACACACGCGTATATACATATGCCGAGACTGCTTCGAAGATCTCTTATCGTACATACATTTGTTTTTTCTCTTTATCTCTTTTCTCTTGTTTTTAAATACAGTGCCAGTAATTCTTGCATCAGGTCGTGGAAAGGGGGAAGAACGCAGCGAGAAATTGACATTTCCATGCTCACGATAGAGAAAGAGAGAGAGAGAGAGAGATAAGAGCTCACTGCGGGTACTCGATTCTGGTGTATTTGGATGGAGTAAATGTTAGATTTTCAAAGCAATCTGTTTAATATAAAGCTGATGATGTATGAGGTAATTGATGATGTAGAATAGAATACATTCATTATATATATACATATAAATATATGCCCTATATAACATTCGGTCAATATACATAAGATACGTTACATTGTGTGTAATGTTACAGTAAGGTAAGCATCCCACCTAAGGTATAAAAGAATGTAATAGTTATGTTTTTCATACACATACATGCATACACACACACTCAGTTTAACGTAGAGTTACCTAGGACGTAAAGAGTAAAGGATAATTCGTAATACCTAATAATTATATGACACAGCTCGGTTTTGAATACGTTTGAGGTCTGCGTATACAAAAAAAGGGGGGGGGAAGAAAAGCCGATTTCGATGAATCGCGCAACTGCCATGACTTAAAAATGTATTTCACTTTTGCAGGGACAATGTATTTTGATTTCGTGGTGAAAATATATTTGACGAATTACAAAAAAAATATGGAGTACATACACACGATGCCCCATTCCACGAAGAAAGAGAGAGAGAGAGAAAGGAAAAAAAGGGATAATACTATTAATTGGATCACGTCATGCGTGCGATATATTTCGAGATGCGTCCCGCTTGTATAATATAATTATGACACACAAACGTATTGCTGTGTCGAAACACACCGCTGACGTCCGTTCGACCAGCGAGCAGACGTCGGAAGTGATTTTTATCGTGCGCTTCGCTAATATTATCACTGTTGTTATTATATGTTTAGTCTGACTTTCGAAACACACGAATTGTAAGTGCTAGTTGATACGACCTATACGTGTGCCTGCGTGCGTGTGCGTGCCTCCCCCGTCATTCCCCTCCCCGTTTATTTCTCGATTAGGAAAAAAAATCATCTCATCCCTCGGCTTATTCGCGTCAACCGAGATCGCGCGGATTTTCGTCCAATCTCCACGCCGATGACGCGCGTGTTATCGGCGATATCATTATCGTCGAACGTCGCATACACGTACACCCGATGTGTATATATATATATATATATATATATACACACACACACACACACACATATACCGTGTCATTCATTTTTGACTTATTGCGAAAACAAGAGAATCGTGTAAGCGCGTTCGATACGGACGCGTGCACGCACACGCGGACGCGCACGCCGAGAAGGAAAATAAGCTATTTGAATAGACGATAAGGCGTATGCATGTGACGGTGCATTTGAGCGTTTTATGCGATAATAAAATGAACGGACGATGCGGATATCGTGGTGTGTAGCGTGAAGGCGAGGACTTTGCTCCGCGACGCGCCGTCGTCTATCTAAACTGCAACTTGGCGGAAATTCCAATAACGACAAATAGTGACCTATAATCGGCGATATAATTTGCGTTGTAATGCGACGATTCGCGAAATCTTTCCGCATTCTGCGTTCCGCTCGAGAAGCAATTCTACGTATATCGGCGTGCTAGTTTTATAATTACTCAGACTTCGCGAGTGTCCGAGAGACGCCGCGCGAGAACGTCTTCTCCCAAGAGTCTAAGATTTTTTTAGGTATCGTTTAGATATGTCCTCCTCGAACGTCCCTGGATCTTTGAGACATCGTTTAAGTATTCTCTGGGCGTCTTACATTTTTCAAGACGTCGTTTAGACATCCTTTAAGTGCCCTAAAATTTTGAGATATTGTTTAGCCGTCTTTCGCAGGCATTTTAAAGTTTTTCAACGCCTTTTAGATACCTTTTAGATCTTCTTTAGAAACGTCCTAAATTTTTGGAGGCGTTGTTTAGACACTTTGTAGACTTTCTAAATTTTTGAAGTTACTTAGTCTCATGATACAATGATTTTAAAAACGTTCTCTAGACAATTTTTCTATCGTTCGAGACGCTGTTGTCTGACTATTGTTATCGGAGGTTTATTTAACGGTGGACGTTGGGTAGCGGAAATTATTTAATAGTGCGTCGAGAACGCGTCGCGCGAACTCCGAGAAGGAAGACTAATGAGATCTTTTTGTACGCGGTATAAATTATTTTCACAACTTACAAACGCTCCTATTCATTTCGTCAAGCCGCGAAGAACTGTGTCGAGCATTAGAGTAAAAGAATATCTTGCGACTGCGCTAGAATTTATAATTCTTAAGAACTCCAACGTGTCATTGAACTACACACAACAAAGTGCAATACGAAAGTACAAAGTCTGACCTCCTGTTCTCTCGAATTTTGTAAATCTCCTCCTACGTGAGGGGGAGAAGAAGAAGAAGAAGAAGAAGAAACGAAGAGAAAACGATCGATCGCTCCTCTTTAAGTGTTCTACGCCCTCGTGGCCGTAAAAATCGCGAGGGCATAATAAATTAGCAACGATGAGCATCGGCTCTCTTTCGCGGCTTATACGCAGATCTTATCCGCCGTGATCGTATCGGCGCCGCGATAAATTTACCCCGATAATACAGTGGAACTCCATTCTGTAAGAGCGGCCCGCTCGTTCTCGAAGTTTCGTCTTCGCCGTAAATATGTAGTTGCGCTGTATTATTTAAAAAGAAAAAAATAGGGACGATTTTGTACCGAATCGATTTTGTACCTATTTCACAGCCGTACATATACACTCATCCCACACACACACACACACACACACGTACACATTACACGTACAAGCAGAATATACACATACATATACAGACGATCCTTCGTTAGAATCTCGCGACTTCTGTACGCCTGAAGCATACGAGTAGCATATATATAAAAGCATTTCTACGGTCTCATATTAACCGACGTTAATGTTAATGGTACCTAAGTAGTCGATCCGCAAATCTAATGACTAAATATTCGGCACAATTACGACATAATTGTATATATATATACGAATATTTTCCAGAAAGAGAGGCGAAGAAAAACCAAGAGTAATATTGGTACATACACAATTGTTAAGCATAAGTCAGAAGAGCTCTGTTACATAGGCAAGAACGAATATACCACCGTCGTTTATATTAATTGAATACAATAAAAGCAAGTTTCGAGCAAGATTTGTCTCATCCTGTCTTCTGCGTAATTCTAAAATTTTATTTCAATTCAATGAAAACATTCGGATTTCGCACACGTGTCACTCGATAAGATAATGAACTTCTTTCTTAAACAAAAGATTATTTAAACGGAGAGAGGTAATTATTAAGTAATCATTTCCTGTTTATTATATTTTTTATTTCTTTTTATTATATATTATCTTTTATAAATATATTTGTTATATATTTTTTCTAATTATTACAATTGGAAAAATGCAACTGGATATTATTTTAAATCTTCTTTTTATAGAATGATTTTTCATATCATAAAATTATCTATTCTAAAGAATTCTTATTTTTTTATTCACATAAATTTTTCATTTCGGATTACGCTTTAAACTGCCTGTACTGATGTAAATTTTTGATGTAAATTATCGACCAATCGAGCGAGAGGTTAGGAATCGTGGAACACGTGGCTCTCGATGTCGTCCAAAAATCGTCAAAGTTATCAGGAGAGCAGAAATGGACAGAAAGTAATAGAAGGTGACGCATCAGTTTGAATTTCCCGCCTTATAGGGAGTTATAATCTGGAAGAAGTAAAGTGATTCGAATAGCGATTCGAATTTGAGATTGGTTGGAGAGTCTGATCGACTAAACTTCAGTTTAGCGCGAAATTCAAATCTGTGTCACTTCTTGTAACCTCTTCGCCCGACATGTTACCTTAATAATTCCGACGATTTTTCGAAGTTCGGGTGACACGTATTCTATCATCCAGCGGCCTGTTTCGCCTAACCTCTCTGAAAAACTGAGAGAAAACGATGAGATATATTAAATTTACGCAAGGTAAATTTACGCAGGTGTTTTAGTAATTAAAAATGAAATAATTTAATGAAGATATATAAATTTTTTGCATGTCTATAAATATCGCATTTTAACTTTTCGAGAAAAAATCTAGGCTCAATCAATACATTGGTCGAGAACAGATTTTTCGGTGTTTGCCGAATTTCCTCGATAGAATGACATGATAGATTTGTTTGATGCAGAATTTGCCATATGGAATATTGTTGGCAAAATTATTTTAGAAATTTGATAAACTGACGAATCGACAGTGAAAATCAAGCGACGTAATTTAATTAATAATAGAATCTAATGGTGTTTGAGATATTCGCTATTATATTTCCAAACTCCGTCAAAATGAATAAGCTGACTGTGAAATAGGTAACTATTTTGCTCAAATTTGCAAGAAAGTTTCTGCCTGCTGACATGACTTGCTTTTTTAATTTTAAATAAGGTTTTTATTTTCAAGAAATTCCTACAAATTTTGAAGAAGTTGAACAGACGATTTGTTGCTGCTACTGAAGAAAGATAATCAATTATAAGAGAATCAATTTCTTTTTATAAAAAAAATATGGTTTCCTAATTATTGTTATTTCAATTTTATTTGTATCATGAATTATTAATAGCTTTCTATGCATTCATTTCTATATACTAATGAGAATATATATTACATTTTTAGCATTTGCGTAACATCTTCAACTTGTTTATCTGATGCGAATCTTCTTGAGCGCAGCATCGATGTCTGAATCATGAAAATTTAACGGGAACCGGCTGCGATCTCGTGCCATCATCCGTAGCGCTCTCTACCTGCTATGTCCAGGATTAATCTACAACCGCAGAGTCCTGGGCCCTCGAGGACTCGTGAGAACCCGACGGTGGACGAGAGAGAACGCAGAGAACGCGTCCGCTCGCCGTTGCGGGAGGTGTGTCTCGGTTCTCATCGCAGTCGCACGGTCGCCAGATTTCGGTTTCAATCCGAGACATTCTCTTTCCTTGGCGTTGTGTCCTTCCACGTGAATTTCGTCCTCGGTATAGAGAGAGAATTTTATATATATATATATATATATA